CCCCCTCTCCCTTAGTCACACACCATATATGGCCTTAATCGCTCTCCACTGCTCCCATTGGTCCGTTCTCCCTAACCACCCCCCCCCTGCCTACTTCGTATATAAGCAGCACCTTTCACATCCTATCACCACAGCTACTGCTCTCTGCATTCCAAGCCATTCAACTGCTCTGAAGATGGAGGCACTACGTTCCTCTGAAACGTCGGCCAAAACGAAGAATACACGGTGCCTAAACCCAGAAGACGACTTTCTGTGTCATCGCCGTGAAAACCTCAAAACTTTCAAAATTCTTATTCAAAACATGTCAAGTCTATTATTATATGGCAGCCTACATATATCCTGTACACAACAGTATTTCCCTACAAGTGACAAACCTTCTGTTTTGGTAGCACATTCTATTATCTGTACAAGACATCTTCCAAATTCTTCAATGATGAAGCGTTCCGCGTCCTCCTCACTATTATCCATGCGTTCTGCTTCCTCTGCCTGTGCTAGTAAACACAGGCATGTTGCATCCAGTACCTCCTGTGTCATGAAGTTGAATGGTTGCCTACATGATAGAAATAAAATAGGAGAATTTTTAGGGTGAATTAATTTTTTGTCTTGCTTCATTTCTCAGAATTCATGCTGGCAGTCATGATTCTGAATAAAGTGAATACCCTACTTAAGGTTTCCTTGGTGGATAGCAAATCTAACACTAAAATGAGGAAAATCTTAGAGGGAGGAAATTTAACATTGAAATTAATAACTCACAATCATTGAAACAGAATGTTAAATGTGTGAAAACCTTAAGTAAATGTGTACTAAATTGTGGTTCCACTGTTGTTTCTTCTGCTATCCCTTTATGTATGGTTTCTTATTCCATGCAGTTTCCCTGCTGAAGTGAAGTACATAACATATATCTTGGTTACCCAGTGCATCACAGCCATCTGGATGTTCAGGTCATCTAAGCCAGTATCTGTTAAAACACTTTCACATGCAACTCTTTATAAGAAGACTGGAACTTTGGAAACTGCAAAAACAAACGACTCATGTAGAGTGGAATCCTTATTTAAAGTTCACTTTAACTGATTCTAAGTAAAAAATTTCAGTGTTAAATTTCTTCCATTTAAGATTTTCCTCAAATATACCAAAGAAACCTTAACAGAGGAAAAAATTACAATAAAAGTCAACTAATATATCCTAATTTAACCTTTTTCCTACCAGTCATAACTAAATACCAATGTTACTACAAAATATATTACAACAGGTGTACAATTACATTAAAATTAGTAACTCTTTCATAGTCACAACACAAATCTATGCATCTCTCACACACATAGCTACAAATTAAGAGAACTCCCTTGTGTCACCATGTCACCTATGCCTTGTACCAAGCAAATGACGAGGGAAATGAACCTCCCTCTAAAATAGTCTCTCTATGAAATGCATGGTGTTTCAGGCCACAAGATCATACTCATTTGCTACATCTAAGGTTAATATGCAAAATGTCTTAAGACATGAAGATGATAAAATTGACAATCTCCAGAAATGTGCCTTTACCTTGCACCACTATGTGGTGGTGGTGGTGGTGGTCGGAAGGCAATGTCCTGTATCTGTGCCGAAAGCTTGTTTTTAATAGCTGTCTGCTGCTGAACGCGCACTTCAGCGGCTTCTGCTAAATCTCGTAATGTATTCTTATCACAGCTTTCTTCCACATTCCGGCAACCCACACATTTACAGTTGTTCGAACAAGGTATTTTTGCCTAAAAATAACACAAGAGTTGTTTCTTAGGCAGCCCAAATTGCAGTTATTGTTTTTGGAAGCATTTCATGTGTACATCCAAAAAGAAATTATTACTTAATTACATATCACATTTATTATTAAATAAGAATTTGAATAAATGAAGGATGCTAAAACTGTTATCACACCATCTCCTCTCCAAATAATGAAGATGAGAATACACAAGACAATAATATTGCCAGTTTTTTGTAAGGGTGTGAAACATGATCTATTCTGATGAAAAAACATAAGGTTTAACTTTATTCATTCTGGTCCGTCACACTACTTGATTACTATAAATGAATTGGTAACACCATCCAGTGTACTCAGTATAGTATGTATTTATATAGTGCCTTTACATGTTTCGGTCAGTTGTGACCATCTTCAGAGGGCAATAACAACATGCCAAGGAAATACTATCACACAGATTGTAGTACATATGCTTAAATTTCTGTATAAGATTTTTAATTATTAAAGTTAGAAAGTGTTTAAGTTAAAAATATATTCTTAATATTCTTAATATTTAAAATCTTGAACTGCTAAGGTTTGTGTCTTCATGCTTCTTCCATCAGAATGGGAGATTGGGGTGTTATTTGCATTCTCTGAGGTCTGGGCAGCGTTGTTTCTCCCTTTTTATATGATTCGTTAAGGTCCTCTGTTGTTAAGTTGTTTCTCCGTTCATTGTGTATTAAGAGCACTAATAATATACTTTTAACTTACACACTTTTTAACATAATAATTAAAAAATCTGATACAAAGCATATGTATTACAATCTATGTAATAGTGTTTCCTTAGCATGTTGTTATTGTCTTGTGAAGATGGTCACAACAGACCAAAACACGTAAAGGAACTACATAAATATATACTGAGTCACACTGGATGGTGTCAATTCATTTTATAGTAACAAACATAAATTACAGTTGTTTTAAAAGGTGCTCAGAAAGATATCTAGATCTAAGAGGGAAACTGCAATTCAACATTCACAATTTATAGAGCTAACCTGATATTTTTAGGACAATGAATTCAAGGACCCACAGACTGAGAATGTGGATCAGAAGACAAGGAATGAATATAGACCTGAGGAAACCTCTTCGAAGATGCTGTCTTGGAAAACTGATAAGAAGGTTGGAAGACAACATAGTGTGACATGTTGCGCAAAGGAGAACCCCCCCC